TAGGTGGAGGCGAAGTCATGGGACTGAATCATCTTGGACAGGCCAAAGTCACCAAGCTTGACGGAGTTGTCCTCTCCAAGGAATACTGTTCTCAATTAGCACATGTCACATCGATTGATAGGGCGATGAAACATACCATTCTCCGGCTTGAGATCGCGATGCAAAATGGTCATGGTTCCCGGGGGCGTCTTAGGCTTGGAAGCTGTGCTGAAGAGGCCCAGCACATTGCTGCCAACCTCGGGAGGGTCGATGCCATAATGGCATCTGTAGAGCGCAGTAACCAGCTGCGAGAAAATGCTCCACACGAATGACTCCTGTGCGCGCTGACCCTTGACAGCCAAATCTCTGATAACGCGACCGAGATCGCCATTACCACAGTACTCCATGTAGAGGTGAAGGTCTTGGGTTGATTTGAGGTGTTCGCGATGGTAGTAGCCGACGATATTTTGATGGCGGAGGGTTGAGAGGATGTGGAATTCGGCGTGGAGCTGCTCTCGCTCCTTTTGCGACATCTTGAGGTAGCTGATTTCCTTCCGACACATGACGAGGTTATCGGCCTTTCTTCGAACCTTTCGGATGATTCCAAAGGAACCATGGCCTGTTGGATTGTTTGATTAGTGAAGAGCTCTTTGGTCGGTTGCAACGTGAACAGCTCGTGAATGGTAGTGCCTACCGATTTTCTCCAGCACCTCATACTTATCCGCCTCCAAAGACATCTTGGATGCAACACGCAATGAATTTGATTAAAGTGAATCTTTGTATGTATCCATAGAAGTTGAGAGGCAAAGAAAAGCGACGGTCGCGAACCTGCTATGTTAGTATCCGAGCTGTTGGTGGTGGTTGACCGGGAAAGGTGCACTGCAAGTCAAAGCTGTGAACTTGGTTGCATGGGACTAACAAGATCGAGCTCGGGTAAACAACTGGGGGCCGATGCCATGGCAACGACGCTAGTGACGGAGCTGAGATAATCCAGCTCCATCTCTCAAAGTGGGTCAATTTCGCGTATCTCTTATCGATAAGTTAGAACTTTAGCTCTGGAGGGGTTCAATGGTGGGGCACTGATGATGTACTGGAAGCCATCACGTAAGGAAGGTCCAAAGTGGCCCGTGCAGAGGCGACCTCATGGAGTTATCGGACTTCATTCTCACTGAGATCTTCAATGTCCCAGATGTGGAGGCGAACTTGAACTTGTCTCTTATTTGATGCATTTCTTTCATATAACCATTTGCTTAGACTTTTCAGGCTATAGAGATCCGTCCTGTTCGTTGAGTTCGTCATCATGGTTCTCCGAAAAGATGAATTAGAAGTACAGCTTAAAGAAGAGCATGAGTTGATCGCAAATGGCGTACTTAGAGAGGACAACCCCTTGGATCAGACGGCAGAGTTCGAGGCTTTCCTGCTGGCTTGCAGAAGAGGCGACCTGAAGACGTGTCAGGAGCTGATCTCGGCTGGCGTGAATATCAATGGCAAAGATCGTTTTGATTACACACCCTTGATTGTTGTGAGTACGCAGTCCCCGTACCTTTGGCTGAGGTCTCACTGACAATAAGCATCAAGGCCAGTTTATGTGGGCATCTAGAACTCGTACAACTACTTCTTGAGTCCGGTGGGTTATACATATTGACGTACAGTGAGACGTATTAACTGATCAACTTAAAAGGTGCACTGGCCGAAAGGAACACGTTTCAGGGCGAACGATGCATTTACAACGCCCTCAATGATAGGATACGAAATCTCCTGCTAGAGTATGATTATTCCAAGTCTACAGACCCGCTCCAACCTTGGGCCGGACACATTACCAGCCTACTTTCCAAGAACGTTCCAAGGACAACCGACATCAGCCTCATTGCAGCAGCGCAGTCCTTCAACATGCACAAGTTCCTCCTAGCAGCACGGACTCCGTACTTCAGGAAGAAGCTCGATGGCGCACCCGATACCGCAACATGGAAGCTCCCGACCACCTACCCGCTCGAGTCTTTCCAAGTCGCCCTACGCTATCTGTACCTAGGAGAAGTACCCAAGGATGTGGTCAATGCTCGCAGTACCGTGACGGAAGAAGAGGTTCTCACTGGTGTTGATAAGCTCAGCAAACAGCTCGAGATCGAGCAACTATGGGAGGCAATCCTGGCGGGCAACGACCGGCGACTGTCGCGCCAAAGGTACGAGGACGAGGTGAAGCGCGCGCAGGCCCAGGTTGATCGTTTCTACCGGGAGAAGGTCCTGGGCCACAAAATGATCGTGGAGACGAAGAGGGTCGGCGAAGTGAAATGGCGTCACGACAACTCCATCTTTGCCGATTGCCTCCTTTGCGCACACGAGCCGGAAAGCGACGAGATCGAGAATGATGCGGAGGATCCTGACAATGTTGTCCATGCTGTCGGCATTCCGCTCGGCCTTGCATCCAACGGCGATAAACCCAGGAAACGGCCTCGAAAGTCGGTGGTCTACCCCGTTCATAAGGCGATGCTCATCCGCAGCCCGTACTTCGAGACCATGTTCTCCAGCGAGTTCAGGGAGGCACAGGACTCGGAGAACCTACACGTCGTCACAGTGGACTGTATGCCCGAGGTCCTCGAAATTGTGCTTACGTTCTTGTACACTGAGAAGGTGGACTGCCCTCTGGATTTCGCGTTGGATTTGCTCTACACGGCCGACATTCTCTTCCTCGACAAGCTCAAGACGAAAGCAGCGCAAGCCATTAGTACCCTCGGAAGCGGCAGTAGCAACATCTGGGCTGATCGCACCCACAGACCCGATGGAGAGGATCACCGGGAAGAGGATATGGAGCCTATTAACATCTACGACGTCATCCACGCGGCGTGGGACCTGCGTGTCCAGCGCCTGGAAGAGTTTGCTGCTCGGTACCTGGCCAACCGCTTAGAGGACTACATTGACGAGGCCGAGTTTGCGGACCTGATCAAGGAAAGTGCAGAGAGACTCAAGAACCGTGAAGAGACAGACACCATTGAGTTGTTGGATGATATCCGATATTATCTGGGCGAGCGCTTCCGTTTGCGTTTTGAGGACGCTAATCTTGAGGAGATGATGGATGAAGAGGGAGAGATCAACGCCGAATTGGCAGAGGCCATCGCTGCACAGAGCGAACAGTTGAATGAGGAGATCTGTGAAAATGGTGCTACCCCACAGGAAACCGCCCCTGTTACTTCCGCTATTGAGCCTGTTGAGAATGGCGAAGATGGAGAGGGAGTCAAGACTCTTGGTGGAGAGGTGGCCGAAGACGAGTTCGCTTCAGATGCGATCAATTACCAGATCTTACTTGGAAAGATCGATACAATGCTGGATCATCTGAAGCTAGATGCATAGATGACTTGGCGCGCTTGGATACCGAGATAGAGGCAAATTAAATGCCTATATTCTGTCACAAATATTAAAAGTGCTGATATGTCCAAAATGTTGAATCTATACTGTGAGACTTCAATGAGGGCGCCGTAAATGTCTTTCCCTGCTCATGATCCATGACCTAGGTGAGCCCCTTGAACGCCCAAGACGTGATAGTCTCCAATCGGCACGCGTCATGCTTGATCAAGTGACACAGCTTATCAGTTAACTTACCTACTGGCGAAAAGGATATCACGTCTGGATTTGCGAGCAGCTCATTCCGTGTGATGGTAAACTCCCTGGCACGGATGGAAGCAGCCTGCATCTTTCACAAATGTGATGCCCATTCTTACGAAAATGGTCATCAAATGTTTAAAAATTCATGTTTGAGTTGGACTAGAGCTTTCTAGATGGCTTCGATCCCCAACAGTCTCTTTCTGCCCAGCAATACCATCTCGATTCGCCCTCCACACGCCCTCTTCGCCATGGAACTCCTCCCGCTTCCATACCTCGACCTTGGCCTTGCACTCCTCCAACGCCTCCTCACCAGCCCTCCACGCAGCCTGTCTATGCGGTGACGACACCGCAATCAAGATGCTCTCCTCGCCGATGGGGACTGTTCCCAAGCGGTGAATCATGGCGAAGCCTTTCAAGCTGTGCTTCTCGACGATGGCCTTGGCGATGGACATCATGGTGCGGAGGGCAAGCGGCGTGTAGGCGCTGTACTGCAGCTCTTTGACGGGTTTGTCGCCGAATGTGTCGCGTGTTGTGCCAGAGAAGAGGACGATGGCGCCGGCTTGTGGTGAGCGGACTCGGTTCATGATGGCTGAAGCGTCGAGGAGATGGTAGGTAAGGGCAACGTAGCAGGAGTCCTCGGAGACCTCCCACGGTCCTTGATCTTGGTTCTCCATGCCTATGGGATTTGCGAACAATAGAGGTGGAAAGATGTGTCTGCTCCTTCGAGTCGTGGTTGATGGCAGAAAGAAATGGTGGGGTTGAGGCCGTGTAAGTATCCAAGATGACGATGGGCTTTTTGAAGTTGAAGGATTTAGTTGAAGGATTTTGGTCAACGCCGCTCAACTCTCTGTTGGAGATCTAATGCAACAAACTTGAAATGATCAATAATTCTCTCTCAGTTGCCAACGATATGCTGATTACTTAAGAACCTTGGGTTGAAATTACCTCAAAAGATGACAATGATGAACGTGGGGAGGACGAAGTTGATGAGTACCCAGGTACAAGGTACAAGGATGGAGGAGCGCGGACCAGGTCCATACCAACCTTATCGACGACCCCGCTTGACTAAGCAAGAGATAAGGTGCAATCCCATGAAACCTACCTAGGCAGCCGCAAGTCGACTTCGAATGGAAGTTGCCAGGGGGGTGAGCTTCTGCCGGCCCGAGCTTTGTTTGAACCATCCCTTCTTCATTCCCGACTTCGCCCAAGCCCATTACTGAGGCCCGTCGCCCTCTGTGTTCCACCAATACCTGGTTGAAGCATAAAGGCACGGTCTTGTCGTACGCCTCACGAGGGGACAGCACCGCGCCTTACTCCTTCCTTCCATCCTCTTCTTCTTTCCGGACCAAGCAAAACTCGACCCAAATCACGCCCGAAGCAGCGCGCATAAAGATCGGACACACCCCTTCCTGCGATCCGCGATCATGTACGAGGACAACCATCGCGCGCGCGAGAGGGGACCGTACGAGCGACGAAGATCCCCTCTACGAGATCAACAACAGTATTCAGACAACGACGGCTTTCGAACGCGGCAGGGTAAAGAGACTAAGCTGAGCCTGCGGAGGACATGACCATCTGCAGTACATCTGGCTGGTTTGAGCTTCTGCTAACTTGCCCACGGGACGACGAGACTCTTCTAGGTCTCCCCCCAGGAATAACCTCGAGCTGTCCTACGACGACGACAGCTACGCCCCGGAGGAATCCCGCCGTCGCGAGCGCGACTGGGATCGGGACCGGAATTGGGATCGTGAGACTGCAGAATACCGCGCAAGAGACTACGACCGTTACTACCATGGACCGCCGCGTGAGGCCCACGAGCCACGTCCTCGATCGGGAGATCAAGGCGGTGGTCGGGATGACTATATGGATCGCCGTGATGAAGACGCTGCGCTACTTCACCCACATGACGGCGACGACCGCGGATCACGTCGTTACGATCGAGATGGCCGGGGCTACTCTCGCCCTCACTACGACGATAGCACTCGCCGCGATGATGCCCGACGTGGTACTGACGAGGATCTTCGTCATTTTTCCGCCTCTCCAGGTGGCAGCCCAGATCGCCATCCTCGTCGCGATCGTTCTACATCGCCTCTTCGACAAGCTGGTACTCCGAGTGATACTGTAATCCTGGAAGGTTTACCATCCGATGTATCTCTCGAGACGGTGCGGGATTGTCTCATTAAACAGTCCGATCTATCACAATATCCATCTGTCGATCTTCGCATCCCCTCAACTGGGCGAGGTAAGCCACCTATCCCCCAACCCTCTCACCTGCACTTGCTTACATCTTCGCCAGGCAAGCGTCGCGCTTTCGCGCAGTTCGAAAATGTCGAGCAGGCGGTCGAGTTTGTTAAAGCAAACTACCCTAAGCTTGTTATCAATTTCTTTAGCGGGGAGGATGATGATAGCACGGATGGCATGACCCTGATTTACATCCATTACGCAAGGAACCGCGATGACGCTGAGCGGGAAAGTCGCGCTGGAACTGCCGCTAATTGGAGCTGTCCGACCTGTGACTTTTCAAACTATGCGACCAGAAGCCGTTGCAAGAACTGCGGCGGTCCGCCCACAGGTATGCACATTCAACGATCCTTCTTACGGAAGTGCGAGACCCGTACTGACTCGGCCAGATCCGTCCCAATACCGATTTCTATTGACTGGCGAGAGCGATGCATCCGATACACCTTCTCAGATCTTGGTTTTCTTCCCTTTGGCACCATCCGTCAACGAAGATGTGTTCTCGGCGGGAGCTGGAAAACTAGAGCTCGTGCAAAAGCAAGCAGCAGCAAGGAACTCCGGCGACGGGCCAAAGCTCAAGTCCACTGCCCCGACAGGCGATGCATCTGGCTATGGCGCAAGGCCGGGCTCTCTCCACCGCACATTCTTGATGCGTGATCAAGAGACGAACGAGTCATTCAGCTTTGGATTCGCCGAGTTCTGGACAGTGGAAGATGCGATGGCGGCCATGAAGAAGTTTCAGATGATGCGCGAATTCACGATTGCCTCGAAGCCTGTGACAGTTTCGACCATCCATCTTGGCGTCTTCGTGCCAGAACTCAGGGAAGTGACGCGATTTAACGAGCGTGTCTCGTTCAACCCGCTCTTCAACCCGGCTATTCGGGTCAAGTACTGGGAGCCCCACGTCTATCCCAGCCAGAGAGTGATCACCGAGGTTCCCCCTGGCGGCACCTCTGGAGACGGAGGCAAAGGGGATGCTGCCGACGAGGCGAAGAAGGGCAAGAAACGCAAGGCGGACGGGAATCTGCCCGCCTCTTCCACCAAAAAGTCGGTACCGATGGCTGGACAAATGGCGTTTTGGCAGAAACGGCATGTCGAAATACACGAGGGCAAGCGAGCCGCCGATGCAGTTGGTGGAAATGGTCAATCGGAAGAGCGCGCCCCTGTGAAGATCTCTCTATCTGGCGCGAACGCAATTTCTACCGGCCCTATCAAGATTTCTTTGACTGGGGCAAGCCTTCCGAAAGCCCCTGCTCCGACAGCATCGCCGAATGGGGCCCCTACTATTGAGAACTCTCAGACACCCGCGCCTCAGACGGGAACTGCGGCTCCAGACAAGACATCTACGCCGGAAGCATCAGTATCATACGTGGACCGCGAAAAGATCTGCTGTTTGATCTGCATGATGAAGTATAAATCTCTGGATGATCTCAGTACGCATGAAAAGTCAAGAAATCACAAGAACGCTACTGCAGATGAGGAGAAGGTCAAGGCAGCTAAGCCGCGACTAGCTGCCCGCGACAAGAGGATGGCAAAGCAAGCAGAAGAGCAGCCGGCGGCACCAGCGGCGGACGAGGAATCAGCACCGCAGTACCGCGACCGCGCCAAGGAGCGAAGAGAGGTGTTTAACCAACCCGCGAAACCAAAGGTACCTGTCCAAGGCGGTAATAAACCAGCGCGCAAAGACGATAAGACCGCCAATCCCCCGGCGGCGGCATCTAAGGAAAAGACACCTCCGCCGGCGCCTCCGAAATCCAAGGGCGCGGGGATGCTGGCCAAGATGGGCTGGAGCACGGGACAGGGCTTGGGCGCCAACGGCGACGGCCGCACCGAGGTGATTGCCACGCACGCGTACCAGGAGGGTGTCGGCCTCGGCGCCGAGGGCGGGAACCTGGGCGACGCGGCGGAGCTCGCGCAGCGCAAGACGACGAACAGTTATGCCGAGTATGTGAATACGGTGCAGGATCGGGCTAGGGAGCGGTATAACAAGATGGGTTGAGGTGCTTTTTGGGTGATAACGGACAATGGAGATACTGCTTGTGGTGTTTACTACCGCGAGGAAGTAGAGATGGGAGGAGCAAGGCTGTCATAGAGTAGCTACTAGCACAACACGTGCAGCGCAAGAAACTTCTAGATGGCACACAAGAATACAACAATGCTCCACTACAACTAAACATTTCACATCACTAGACTTTTTTTGAGCTTTGAAATCTGGTACATTGTAAACGGTGTATGTGCAAAAGAAAGGCACCCAAAAAAAAAAGTAGCCAGTCTCCGTCAAATGCTAGGTTACTACTTTCAGTAATCCACAATCTTGAGCCGGGACTGCACGTCCTCGGGCAACTCCTCCTTCTTCACGATCCCCATGAGCACACAATCGCCCAGGAAGAAGAACGCTCGCTCCTGCGCGTAGCCCAGGTAATCGTACTCGTCGCCCTCGTCCTCGGCCTCCGCAGCAGCCTGCACCTCAGCCTTGGCGTCCGCGTCGCCCGCGGCCGCGGCGGCCTCGTTCTGCGCCTGCTTCTCCTGCTGCTCGATTTCCTCCTGGGACTCGAACCCGGGGACTTTAGCCTGGATGACGCCCCACGCTACCCACTGCGCGCTGTTGATGCCGCGCCAGAGGCGGGTTTCCTCGTAGAGCTCCTTGATCTCGGCCTCGACGGCCTCCTCTGCGCGGCGCTCTTCTTCTTTCCAGTGGTTGGGCGGGACGCGGGCGTCGAGCATGAACTCGACGATGGAGGAGGAGGAGCTGGTGGGGAGGAGGGCGGGCGTGCCGACGGCGCTGCTGCCGTCTGCGGCGCCGGCGGGGGTGAGGCGGGGGGTGGAGGCGCCGCCGTGGGTGTATTGGGGCCGGTGCTCGACGTAGGCTTTGAGGAAGCGGCGCTGTTCCTGGATGGTTGGGTAGACTGCCGTGTTGCAGAGGAAGGGGAGGGATTCGTGGTGGTAGTTGTAGGACCATTCTGTGAAGTGGTTTGCGAACTCGAGGCCTGGGACGTTGGCGGCGGCGTACTCGAAGTCGATTACGACGAGCTGCTTGTGCTCGTTTGCTGGCTTCAGGAGGGGGGACTTTTCGTCGTCGGGGCGCATGCGGAGGATGTTGCCGTATTGGGTCTGGAAGAGCGTGTTAGCTGGTGACTGACTTTGACATTTGGGGGTAAAAGATAGGGGCAAGTGCACTCACGTCGTTGTGGGCAAAAACGAGACGCTCGCGGATGGCGTGGCCCTTGTAGGCGCTGAGAGCCAACTCGCGATACTTGTCGTAAAGCTCCTTAAACTGCTTCCACTCCACACCACACACGTACCCGCGGTCGCGGAAGACGCAGTTGCCATTGCGTACGCCTTCGTCGAGGGCGCAAATCTTCTTCTCGACGTTGCCGAGCCAGGCATCCCAATTCTTGAGCACGGCAGGTCCCTCATCCTTTTCCCTGTCCAAGACGTCGATGCCAAAGTGGAGCTCCCGCATGCGCTTAGCAATCTGCTTGGAGGTATCGGGATCGCGCAGGTCGTTGGGGGTGAGGGTGATGGAGTTGAAGTACTCCTCGAAGCGGCCGTTGGTGAAGCACCCGAGGAGTCTCGGGCCAATCTTCTTTCGCGCCAGTCGCCGGAGCACGCTAAGTTCGTTCTCGCGGTCGATGAGGGCTTCGAGTCCGTAGATGCGCAAGAGGAGCTTTGGTGGGGGCTTCTTGCCGGGTACTTCCCCGAGGTCTTCGGGAGGAGAGACGACGTAGACGGCGTTGGTCAAGGCTCCGCTGAGACGTTGCACGATGACGCTGTTGCCACTGTCCAGAGGAACTCTTCTCCAACCCTTGATTCTCAGAGTATGGGCTAGACGCACAATCTCATTCTTGAACGTTTCCCAGGCCTTCTCCTTCTCGTCCGCCTGGCCACCAAGGGTCAGGTCGTCGGTACTCTTGCCACCACCACTGTAGCTGAGGGTCTTTGAGTTGTCGAGAATTGCGTCGCAGGTTGGTACTATGACATCCTCGCCGATGTAATCGGTGTCGGAGCTTGCCGTCCTGTGGAGCATGCTACGCGACAAGGACTTCTTGTGACGGAGGGAGGGGCGCCTGCCGACCTTGGGGCTCATTTGAGGCACGGAGCTGATTCCCATAGAAGCCATGCTGTCCTCGATGATCTTCTGCAGCCTATCGAAGGAAACGTCGCTGGAATCGGAGTCGATGGAGTCCGAGCGTGAGCGAGGAGCAGCGGGCTGGGCTGTCGGGTCTGCCGTCTCTGCCGCAGGAGATTGTTCCTTCTTGGTCTTTGACTGCGGTGAGCGGCGTCGGGGCGATGTCTTGCTCTTCCGGGCAGCCTTCTTCTTCTTCTCATGCTCTAACCAGTCGTTGAGCTGGGCAAGCAGCTTCTGACTCTCGTAGTGGGCCTTGTGGCCGTGGCGATGGTGGTGATGAGAGGCTTGAGCTGCGGCTGCGGCAGCAGCAGCAGCAGCAGCAGCGGTAGCATCGTCGGAAGACGGGCCAGGCGACGGCTCCATGACAGGGGAAGAGCGAGACGATGAGGAGCTGGTGAGGCCCATGCGACCTGTCAACCTCTTGGCCATGTTGGCGGCGTACTGTCTCTTGTGGTGATGATCGGAAGGCGGGGCAGGTGGAGGCGGGGCGACAGCGTCAGCCTCTGGCTCAGCGATTTGAACGACTGTGAGAAGGTTAGTACATCGTGTGTCTTTTCTTACACGTCATAAGCCCAGCAACGATACCGGTCCATCAAGCCGTGTCTGCGATGAGCAGTAAAGTGTTTCTGGGTGACGCGGGGCAGGCACGCAGACATGGGCACAAGCATGAGCATTGAAACGAGTTACTATCGCGGCTCGACTGCCAGCCACATGTGCGCGATCCCTTATCCTCCCATCACTGTCGAGATGACACGATACCACTTGATGGGAGTGCCGAGCCTGCAGACCGTGGGTATGTTTAAAATGAGACGAAGCCAGACGTTTGTTTGAACTGACCTTTGGCGGTGTTGGACGCGCACTCTTCATCCGTCTTCATGGCTGATCGCAGGGGCTGCTGCTGTCCAGTGATCTGGGGCGACGAAGAGGATGACATCTTGGCAGGCAAGACAGAGGAAGAAGAAGCGGGCGCAACAGAGTTTATGAGAGAAGGGAGTCGCGCGCGCGCACAAAGTCGGGTAATGGTGCTATGTTCGCGGCTATACGGATAGAGGAAATTTTGCTCGCGTGAGATGACAGGGGATTTGCAATGTGCGTCGGTGAAGAAAATCGAGGTTATCCTCTTTTGAGGAGGTGAGAGGTGACAGTTTGCGATTGCAGCTTAGGTTGGGTATGGGGGAGCCTGGAGGGGAGGGGCTCAGAGAATGGGAATCCCACGATAAGTACGGAGTCGGGTGCTAGAGGTTTCTTATCGGGCCCGGCGCAAAAAGACACGGAGGGGTTTATCGTGGGGCACGCAGGCGACACGGGTCACCTCAGACCAGGTAGGTAAGGTACCTGGTAGTGTAAGATGGACCCCAACTGTGAGGGGTGACGGGGGCTCTGGCTGCAGGCTGGGTTAGGTTGGGTTCTCGAAGTGGTTCTGGAAGAGGAAGATTTACGAAAGGATGAGACGAGAATGGCCAGAGTTGGGCGGGGAGACGATGCAAAGAAGAAGGGTGTTCAGATGAAGGGCCAAAGAATAGAAAAGAAAGACACAACAAAACACGTTGAGCGGTTGTTAGGCGAATTACAGCCACAGCAAAAGGGCAACTAGTCGTGTGGTGCGAGGTTCTGAGGAGGTTGCAGTTATGGGCCGTTGGTCGCTTTGGTTGACCGAGCCGTGGGGATGGGGACCACTGGGGAGAGCTCCAGGTAGTGAGTGGACCTCCAGCTGGAAGTGGTCAGGTGCACCCATCGCCGTCATCCCTGCCCGCTTTACAAAAGTAAGTAGTGCGTATATACTGCGTAAAGGTAGGTACCTTATCATTGGTCCCAGGTTCCTTATAGCGCGCTTTAGACCGTACATTGTCCCGCAGTGCCGCAAATGCACCCGACGACAACCGCACAAATTTGGTATTCCGCCGACTTCCGCCCACCTCACATGTCAAGGTACCTTGTCTTGTCTTCAGGTAACTTCACAATTCCAGAGCAAGGGTTCTTCTTATCGTCGCACTAACACCAATTCGCTCCTCCATCACTTCACCACCAGCTAAAAAAACTCGGGAAGGATTCTGTCACCGACATGACATCTCACGAGGCCACAGAAACATACTTTAGAGTACCTTAACCAACGTCAAGTTTGGCACCTTTAAGTATCTGTCAGCCCGGTTCCATGGCAATGCCACGCAACCACGCAACCATCCCGAAAAGACAAGACTAAATGTGACGTCAGGGGGACCCTACTGTACCAGTCGGGAGCTCCCGACCCTTGCTTTCCATGGCATGGCGCGCGCGTCTTGCATGTGACGTACATGGCGACACACCAACAGTTCGCCCCCAAAATTGACAGCAGTTGACATCAATTGACAGCTTTGGGCGAAAATGGTATTTGGGGTCTTCTCCAATTACCATGCCGGTAATTGCCATGTGCCTCAATTGACCGTCCAATCTCATTCTTTAAATGTACACGACGTTATATCGCTGGGAACAGACCGTGTAGACGTCTAAATTGCAAAATCCTGCTTCAATACATGTGCAGACCTTGGTACACGAACTTTTAGCATACACGGCACACACACACACACACACACACACACACACACACACACACACACTCTCTCTCTCTCTCTCTCTCTCTCTCTCTCTCTCTCTCTCTCTCTCTCTCTTTCTCTCTCTCTCTCGATTGAGCTCAGCCACACCTTGTATGACACGGTCCAGCTGGATTTGTAGTTACACGCTCTGCCATTCACCGGTGAGCTACGACTATATTGCCTAAATACATCACACTACTTGAGAAGCTTCTAGTACCAACATGCTCCAACGCATGGCTAGATCTTGGCCGACCTTCCCTCCCTCTGCAACGCCCACTCAACCGCCGCCTTGACATCATCCACAATCATCTTGGGCTTATGCGTAGGCGCGCCCCTCTCCTGGCTCCAAACACCCGTCTTCACCAGCACAGAAGCCCACTCCGTCTCCTCGTTACTGTAATCATTCGCGCCCCGGATGTCGCTCTCCGGGTTATCCCCCACCATGTACACCGTCTTCAACGGCGCGACATCTCCACCACCACCACCACTCTTACTCTTACCAAGCAGCGCCTTTCGATGGGCATCAAGAACCCGCTCCGCATACTGATACGTAGTCGCAAACGGCTTCCCAAACACAGTCCTCTTCAGCTCCGCCTGCCCCGCCGTGACCTCCTTCCACACGCCCGCCACAGCCGCCTGGAATGCCCCCTGCCCGAACCGCGGCTGGTGGTACGTCGTCGACCAGAACAGGTCCGCGTTCGAAAAGATGAGCGGGGGCTGCCCGTCCTGCTGCCACCCGCCGTTCGGCAGCGACGCGTCGCCGTTCTTGGGCGAGTACGTTCCCAGCAGACCGTTGCGCGACAAGAGCAGGTCGGTGATGATTTGGATGTCGAGAGCCCAGTCGCGCGGGTCGTTGAAGACGAACATTGCGTCGATTTTGAGCGCGTCCGCGTCTGCTACGGTGCCGTCGTGGATCGGTTTCGGTAGGGTCTCGTGGGAGTCTGCGTAGACCGACTTTTTGAGGAGTTCAAAGGGGAATACTTCGGGGTGGGCGTGGATGATGTCTGCAGGCGTCACCACGTTCTTGAAGCCATACCTTGTTGGATTGTCAGTTGGTGTGAAGCTTAGAGAGCATGCGAACTCTCAAAGGTGATTGACTTACAGCTTGGCAATCTCTCTGCACTTCCTCGCATCGGCACCCGTCAGGAAGATGGTCTTGTCTCCCAGTCCCTCCGGCCCCTGCACCAGCTCTTGAAAGGGAGTGTGCGACTGGACAAAGTTGTCCACCGAGAGCTTGACCCCGAGCTTGTCGCTCAGGTCCTTCACCCGGACGGCCTCGGGCTTGCCTCCGCCGTTGGTCAGGAGGATGAACGGGATGTTGTTGTCGTTGAGATACTGCAGCGACTCGGCGGCCCCGGGAATGGGCTTGGCCACGTGCAACAGAACGCCATCGATGCTGCCCTCTCTCGTTAGTCACGTCTCTTACACAGTTCCTGGTGGAACATGGGTGATGGTTATGGCTTCCAGGACCTCATCGGACCCCCCAATGAGCTACGCCTTCTTGCGCTGTTGGGTTTGACTCACTCAAAAGCAAATGCAAACGACGGGGCTTCGCCCGCCTCGAAAACCGGCTTCTTGCTACTGAACCACCGTTCCGAACCAAAAGTCTTGGTGGCGCCCGGTAAACTCGTCAAAGGCAGCGTAACCCTCCTCAGCCCGGAAAGTTCTCTCTCGTGACGCCCGATACCGGCAGCCGCGCACCTGAAAGGTGTCGGTGAAGTGGTGAGTGGCCTCGAAACGAGCCGACCGAGGCCCGTTGTCCTGACTGCCTGTCTCATGATGTGTAAAATGCAAGTCCCTTCAAAATCAATCTGGAATTCAAATATGCCGCATGACAGAACGTGAAAGGAAAAATGGGTGCTGTTTGAGTGTAAGAGTGATGATGAGTCGAGGTTGCCCGTGTGGTCGAGGTTGAGCCCGCGGGCACGGATAACGGATAACGGTCAACACTGACTGAGCTCTCCCCTGCAGGGAACCTACCCCTGCCATCCGTCCAATGCTCTCCGCTCGCTCGCTAGTTTTAGCGGCTGAGTCGACCTCAGGTCTGCGGGGTGCGTCTTGAGCCCATCATTCAATGCAACGCCTTGAAACCGGCCACCTGAGTATTAGGTGAGGAAGCTACATTCTGATACCAAAGACCTATAATTTGGATAGATACGTTTCTTCTCATAGTTCATGATCCATGTGTGTTAGTCGCCAAAGACAACAGTCTGGATTTCTGTAGATAGCATCTAAGCAACGAAGGCTCAGGAGGGAGTTTGATGATTCCGTACTAGGTACAAGAAATGTTTCCTTAAAACGCAATTACGGTGCACTCACTGCCATAACTACAGTCTCAAAGATACATCGACCTCCATTCATCGAGAAGCAAGGCTAAATTGAGGAAAGCTTTATTGATGTACCATCGATTGCAAACATTCCAAGGCATTACAGTGTGATTGAGTGGTCTTGGAGCAATGATGGCTCAAAGGTCTATCCATATAACAGTTGATAGTACATATTACACAAGTTGGTACACCACGCACTTTTCATCAATCTTTTCGCTTCCTCTCAACCTACTCCTCCTTCTTCCACCCTCCCTGCCAATCATTCATATGGTCCAGAATAATCTTGGCCGCCTGCGACGGCGAGTGCTGCCGCCCAAGCGCCTCGACAAAGTCGCCCTCGGGGTCCATCAGGTAAAAGTATATGCTGTGGTCCACCAAGTAGTCCTGGCCCGGCTTGACGTGCTGCGGCGTGCTGAAATAGACGCGGTACAGCTTGCACATGGCCTTGATCTCGTCGTAGGTGCCCGTCAGGCCGATGAATTTCGGGTGGAACTCGGACAGGTACTCCTTGACCACCTTGGGAGTGTCGCGCTCCGGGTCGCAGGTGATGAAGAGGGGCAGGACGGAGCCGGGGCGCTGCTTCTCGACGAGGTCGTACATCTGGGCCATCTTGTCGAGTTCGTCGGGGCAGATGTCGGGGCAGTGCGTGAAGCCGAAGTAGACCTGTGGCAGACATTGTCAGCTTTTTCTTGTTCTTCTTCCCTTGCGATATTGTACGGCTCCACGAACCAGTGCGTAGCGACCCTTCATATCCTCGCTGGTGAACTTGTTGCCGTTCTGGTCGGTCAACTCGAACTGTCCTCCCACCTTGGGCCGTCCCATGCCCTTAGTCGCCTCCGCAATGCGCTTGCGCTCCATGCGCTGCTTCTCGGCCTCAAAGTACCATGTCAGACCAACACCGGTTCCGACGAACAGCAGGCCTGCCTTCCATGAAAAGGGCTGGTTCAGACATCCAGTCAGCATGACCACTCTCAATGACAACGGCACCCAAGTACTCTAGATAGAGACCATACCCCTGCTCTGTATCTGCTCTTTGCCTCCTCTACGGTCTTGAACGTCTTCGTCCTCCTTTGCGCCGGGGAAGGTCTCGTCTGAAGCATGCTCGGCGCAGCGGTAGTCGGCCGGGTCTGCTTAGGAAACGTCGATTGGGAGATGCATCGTCGGCATTGTGTCGAAATTGTGGAGGAAAGAGACTTCCACAGAAGCCTCGTAGTGACTTGCGACATTGTTGAGGTAATTGAAGATTTAATCAACGAGATGATGCAGGGCGACCGGGAAATCTGGGAGCCTTCATCATTCGAAAATCGTAAGACTCCAAAAAGCTCTCGGTGAGCTTGGGCCATCTACCAAAATATTGTGGGTCGGAAGAACCATTGATGCGGTATTCCTTCCCTATTGTTCTGTTCACCGAAACAGACCGAGAGCCAGCCGATCTCACCGAGATAGCCGTGGGTCTTTTCTTAATGCTGGACCTTCCACTCTCACTCACTCTCATTCTGTAACTTCACTCTAGTGAACCTCAGCGCCGTGCATCACGTAACAAACGAAATTGACTTTCCTTTTTCTTTTCACTAAAGCTCGCTCTTTGTTCTCACACTGTAATCTCGATATCTGTGTTCCACTTTCAGGTCGTCACTGCTGTAAAGATATATGCTGGAAGCCATGGATTCAGACGTGGAGCCAAAGATCAAAGGCGGCGAGGATGAGGATCTCGAGATGGCAGACGCGCCCAGCCAAGTTCCCACCACATCTCAAACGGCACTTCAGAACACAGAAGAGGAGCAAACGGATTTCATTACGGCGCCGTCATCACAACCCGATTCTTCTCTCCCACCTCCAACTAGAGAGGCTTTCTCTCCTTCCACCATTCTAGAAAGCACCGAGAAGCCCTCAGAATCTCAAAAGATGGGACCGAAGAAGAAGGGAACCGCTGCGGTCAAGAAGGTGCCGAAAAGACCCAAGGGTGGCCCATCGAAATCAAGCAAGCCCAAGAAGCAGACTGACGCAGCGTCCACGACATCATCCGCTAATCTACAAGATGACTTGGCAGGAGGTTCCGATGAAGAATCAGACAACGGACCGTATTGCATCTGCCGCGGTCCAGACGATCACCGGTTCATGATCTCTTGCGACATGTGCGACGACTGGTTCCACGGCGAGTGCATCGGCATGAGCAAGGAGGTTGGCGAGAACCTCATTGAGCGTTTCGTCTGCCCTAACTGCGCAGACGGCGACCAGAACGTCAGCCTCTTCAAGAAGACGTGCTCGTACAGGAACTGCATAAAGGCCGCGCGTCTCTATGATGGGCCAGAGAACAGCAGCGTCTTCTGCAGCGATGAGCATGCGCACATGTTTTGGGAGAAGAGCATCGCGGCCCTGCCGAAGAAGCACTCATCCAAGAACGGTACGCAGGACGGACTTACTCAGGAGGAGGCCATGGGTCTGTTGGCTAGCACGCTTGCCGGTGTCGACTCGGATGATGGCAGATGGAAGGTCCGAACCAAGCCGTTTGCTCCAAAGCATAACGAAGGTACGCAAATCAGTTCAACGGCTCAACTGGATTGCACAATTAGACTAACTACTTCATGCAGCTGAAAGCCCTGAATCTAAGACTAAGAATCTTATACCAGCGTATCTCACCGAGGAGGAGAAGGAGATTCTTACAGTGTCAGCCGCGGAGCGAAAGAAGCTGGGCGAAGAGGTCCTCCTCTGCCAAAAGATGCTCCAGATCCTCGAGTGGTCCAACGACCGGCGAAAGGCCCTCATCGCCTCCAAGCAATTCGAAGACGCGGCATGCGGCTACGACTACCGCCTCGACCAGGTTGGCGTCGTGGGCCCCTTTGCCAACTGGCTCAAGTCGGACGAGGCCCAGGAGATCTACAAGGCGGGCAACCTCGACGTCGGCAGCCGGCTGAGCGGCGAGGACAAGAATATTTGCGACAAGAAGCGCTGCAAGCCTCATCAAGGATGGTACTCGATTCATACTAGAGATGTGAAGTACCAGATGAAGCTCCTGGCTGTGGACGCGAACACGAGGCTGGATGCGGAGCGCCGCATCAAGGAGGCGGCGGCGGAACGGAAGCTGAGGAAGGAGGCGGAGCACAATACCGTGCAGCGTGTTTTGCCGGATGGGACTCTGAGCCCGCCCATAGCCACGTGAGATGGCTTTGGCTTCGATTCAAGATTTGAGATTTGTAATAAGGCGATAGCGAGGACAAGGCGTTTCCGGGGTCAAAAAGGCTTCAGATATTGCGATGCCCAGCCAGAATACCTGGGCTGTGTCTCGACACTGCGACAGGGAGGCAATGTAGTCCAGTCACTTTGGAGTGCTTTGGAGAGATGGCCGAAAGCCGTCCAAAATGACAATCACGACTTGATACGATTCCCGGCATGGCGGTGATGAAGAATGGTATTAATCTGGGCCTTTACCCACCGGCATCAATATCATTCAACTTCTCACCTCTTTGCCGGTTACCATTTCCCCTTCAGTTGACAGGTTTATTCACCATGCAAAGCCAACGCAGCAAAGACATAATACCAAGAAATGAAGCATTCTGTGGAACCATAATTCTAGAAGCAAGGGATCAAACATCCTTCAAAGGATGTTCACCTCATACAAATCGCCAGTGACTAAGCACCCCGGACACGCCAAGACGTCAATTCGGCCCGCGACTTGTCTCTGTTTGTCTTTGATCCTTCAACTTTCCCACACCAAATAATCTCTCACCCATTTTCCCATCTTCTCATTTGCCATACACACTCATTTTGGCATGCTCCCCGCGTCATACACTAAGCAAAGCAACCCACACCAAGAATGCGTCAAGAAATAACAAAGCCCCTGAATGTACGGATATGGCATTCCACCAGGCGTCCATCATGATATTCACACCCAATGACCCTCCGTGGCCCCATTTCCCTTGCCGCCAAGCACAGAGCCGAGGAACCCGTTCTGCCCGTCTGGGGTGTTCTGCTGTGCCTCTCTAACCATCTCGGGGCTGGCGCGACCAGACTATCAAACCCCAAATCTCCAAATCTCGTAAAAACAACGAGCTCTCAAGGTGGCGCGAGGTCTGCCTACCGGTATTATGCAGTCAGGCTAGCTCCAACGGCCCCAGATAGGTAGCCCTGCTGGGCGTGGCTCCAAAGAGTCTTGCCTTTCTTCCCCATTTCTGCGGCTGTACTAGAGGAGAGCTCCCGCTGTTGTCCCATTGACAGAAACGGACGTGCGATCCCGTCGCCGTTTGGCATCTGACAGCTCCGGCCGGCGATACTCTGCTTTCTTCTTTTTCCTGTAGTCTCAACAGCCTTGTGTTGCTTACCGGTTCATGTCCCCGGTTTCTCGAATACCCGTCCAGACGTCTGCTAGGATAAGCTTCTCCGCATAAGAAGCAGTCTGCGGGGGTGGAGCAGACGTAAACAACAGGGACTCGATCTCCAACCACGGGCGTCCGTTTCTCGAGGGAGTCGATGCTTTGGGCCCCCCCTCCCCAGTCCACAGGGATGAAGCTATCCACGACGACCTTGGCCCTCGCGGCCCTGGCGTCGGAAGCCGTCTCGCAAAAGGTCATCTCAGCCAACTTCCACAAGATCCAGCTCCCCGTAGACCTGGTTCAAATCACCCGCCGCGACACCCTCACCCTCGCGGCGCTCAACAACATCACGGGCGGCGGGTACTACTCAGAAGTCGAGATCGGCACCCCGGGACAGAAGGCGCTGCTGCACGTCGACACGGGCAGCAGCGACACGTGGATCGTCGACAAGCAGGCCGACCTCTGCACGAGCACGAAGCTGCAGCGTCAGTACGAGACGGGGTGTACCGAGACATACAACTCGACGGCGAGCTCGACGTACAAGGTCGTCGGTCAGAACGGGTTTGATATCACGTACCTTGACGGCAAGAACATCAAGGGAGACTACATCTCGGATGTCGTCAGCATCAATGGGAAGACAGTCAAGGACCAGCAGCTTGGTCTGGCGATTCAGACGGTCAAGGGCACGGGGTTGATTGGTCTGGGGTTCTCACAGACTGTGGCGACGAAGCGCAAGTATCCTACCATTCTCGACAACATGGTTACGCAAGGTGTCATAGGCAGGAAAGCCTTCAGTATATGGCTGGTAAGGGAGGCGCTCTACAGTTTTCAATCCTCCAGCATGTCCACTGACAGTGACGGGTAGAATGATCTTTCGTCGTCTGAGGGAACATTACTGTTCGGCGGCATTGACACGGAGAAATACATCGGCTCGCTCACCACGCTCCCGCTCGTCAACGACCACCATTCGGGTAACATGACAAGCTACAGCATATCCATGACCGGCGTCGAAATCGAAACACCAGACGGCAAGACGGTCAACATAGCCGGGGACAACTTCAACGCCGCGACCGTCCTCGACTCTGGGTCGACGATATGTCTTCTCCCAGAGCAAATGGCAAAGGCCATCTGGGTCAAATACGACGTCGTCGACGCCGGGTACGGCTTTATCGATTGCAAGTGGCGAGGCCCCCAAGGCGAGGGAATCTTTTTCGACTTTGCTTTCGCCGGCGTCAAGATTCGCGTCCCGATGGAGGAGATGGTCCTGGATAACCTTGACCCCATCATGGACCAGCTCAAGGGTCTCACCCCCTTCGACAAGCCCTGCATGTTTGGCATACAAAACAGCGCCACGTTCGACGTCAACAGCACAGAGTTTGCGCTGCTGGGCGACACGTTCCTACGCAGCGCGTATGTCGTCTACGATGAGGCGAACCACCAGGTCGGCATCGCCCAGTCGAACCTCAACGCGACCCGGACCAATGTGATTGAGCTCCGGGCGGGCGAGACTGCCTTGCCGACGGCCACGGGTGTGGCAAGCCAAGCTAGTACGCCGGCGCCGACGTCGACGAGAGCCGGGACGGGGACGATGACGAGGACGGCGGCTGCTGGGATGGATACGTCGGTAGCGTCGGCAGGCGCTTCGACGCCGTCGTCGAGCGAGTCACCGAATGCCGCGTCACATCCTGGGCTGGTGGCCTCGGAAACGGACGGCTTTTTGGTAATGGTGCTCATGTCTGTCTTTGCTGTCGTTGGCGCGGCGCTGATGGCGGGTTAATTCTCATATGCATATACTTACTCATACTTTTAAATGATAATGTAATTTGACGTCAAGGTACAGACGCTCTTCCTCGCGTCTGGCATGCCTCCAAAGCGTGGCCTATATTGCATTCACTGCATCTTCATTCGGTCTGTATATTGTTTGAGAGAGAGAAGTATCTCAATTGAATCAATAATTGACCTGATGTATTCAGTCAATCGCAATTCAGACTGTCGTCTCAAACTGCGGAATGTCACTGCTTAAAGTTCGAACCCATCAATGGAGGAGGGGAACCGGTGGAGCGGCTGCACCCGAAGGGGAAATTTTTTTCACGCCGGTTTTTCGTCACCCGTGCCGAGCGGACGGTCAACCTTTTGAACGTCTCCCAACCTCATCCCGAACTCGGCTTCGAAAACTTGACTCGTCCTCCGTATTCTATTCACCAAGGTGCGCCAGATTACTGTCTGCAAGGCTCTACCTCACGTTGCTCACATCTCCCGACTTTGGTTGACCTCTCCGTCCCTTGTCGCGCTATAACAACTCGACTGCCCCTCCATTGAACCCCTCCAAAGCCGACAATTTCAACCCCTCCACCCCACATTCACTCACCTCATTCACACGGCTCTCACACAATGGCGACTGCTAGCGTCACATCCGTCGACCTCACCGGCCTCAAGAAGATCGGCCAGGGCAAGGTTCGCGATGTCTTCGAGGTCGACGACAAGACGCTCCTCTTCGTCGCCTCCGACCGCGTCTCGGCTTTTGATGTCGTCATGAAGAACGGCATCCCTGACAAGGGCGCCATCCTCACCCACGCCTCTGTAAGGCTCATTCTCTCATTCCGCACCACTCACTCACTCACCCACTCACTCACTCAAATCCTCTCACTCTTCACAACCCCTTCTCATTCTATATCCTCGAATATTAGATCATGTGAGAAGTCATCTTTACTAATGCGACTGCTCAACGGCACATAGGCCCACTGGTTCAAGGTTCTCACCGACCGAGTCCCAGGCCTCAAGACCCACTTCATCACCCTCGACCCCCCGGCCGGCCTGCCCGCCGCCGACGCCGCTCTCATCAAGAACCGCGCCATGCAGGTCCGCCGCCTCAAGGTCATTCCCCTCGAGGCCATCGGTATGTCTCAACCCCATGCTTCTCATACTAAACCTTCTCGTGGTTGTAACTACTGACTGTAACCCCAACAAGTCCGCGGCTACCTCACCGGCTCCGCCTGGAATGAATACAAGTCAAAGGGCACCGTCCACGGCATCCCCGTCCCCGCCGGCATGCAACAATCCCAAGCCTTCGCCACGCCCCTCTACACCCCCTCCACAAAGGCAGAACAGGGCGAGCACGACGAGAACATCCACCCGGACGAGGCCGTCAAGCTCGTCGGAGCCAAGTACGCCAACCGCGTCGAGGAGCTCGCCCTCCAGCTCTACGCCGCGGCGCGCGACTACGCCGCCGAGCGCGGCATCATCCTCGCCGACACCAAGTTCGAGTTCGGCGTCGACCCGGACACGGACGAGGTCGTGCTCGTGGACGAGGTGCTCACGCCCGACAGCAGTCGGTACTGGCCTGCTGCCGGGTACGCCGTCGGCCGCGACCAGGAGAGCTTTGATAAGCAGTTTATCCGCAACTGGCTGATTGAGCAGGGGCTTAAGGGTAAGGAGGGCGTTGCGCTGCCGGAGGATGTGTGCAAGGCTACGGCGGAGAAGTATAAGGATGTGTTTGTCAAGTTGGTGGGGAAGAGCTTTGATGAGGTTGTTGCGTGAGGGGAGTGCTGAGGAGAGTGGAAGGTCGTGTTTACTAGGTATCAGTTGCTTGCTATACAAAAGTCATGAGATATGCCACCTTGGCTTTCAAGGAATAGGATTTGGTTGAGAAATGAGAGATGTTTCTTGATGAGTTGTGTTTATGGGGGTAGACATGTTGTTTCGCTTATCAGAGTTGTCAAGACCATCCGCCGGGTAGGACATATGAATGAAATCTGAAGACTCAAAGAAAGATTGCCTTCGCGCCTCCAAACTAGAGAGCAGCAGCAGACGGGCCATACCCCCAGGACTTGATCTTGACACACAAAGGACGCAAGACAGAGCCAAAAGGCAAATAGTCACTCATCGTTATCAGCTACAACATGCAGATAAACACGTGATGCTTGCAAGGGTCCCTGAACAGCGTCTTTGTCCTCAGTTCCAACCAACTCTCGTCATCCTCAAAACCCCCCAACTTGAGTTGAACATAACCCTGATCGTAGGCTCAACATCGTAACTTTGTCTTTATTCAAGTTGACTGCTTATCAAGATGGGTTCTCATGGCGACACGGTATCATCGGCGCCTACAATAGCCTTTGGAACTGACATTCGAAAGCAATGCTTCTCTTTTGCTGAGGATTATCATCCTCTCAATCACGGCTCATTCGGGACTTTCCCAAAAGAAGTCCGGGAATACCAAAGGCGACTACAGGAAGAGAGCGAGGCGAGGCCAGACACGTTCATGCGATATACCTACCCTAAGCTCCTCTGCGAAAGCAAAATCGCAATTGCGCCACTACTTGGAGCGGACCCCGGCGAAGTCGTTTTTGTTCAGAACGCCACGACGGGGGTTAACACCGTGCTCCGGAACTTGAAGTTTCAGGCCGGCGATGTAATCGTTTACTTCAATACGATATATGGTGCTTGCTACAAGACTATTCAGTCACTTTCGGAAGATCGACCACTCTCGTCGCACGCGATTGAGATTGCGTACCCCATCGACGATGACGAAATCATACGGCGATTTCGATGTGCGGTGGAGGAAGTCAGAATGAAGGGAAAGACCCCGATGCTTGCGATGTTTGATACGGTTCTCACAAGCCCTGGGGTCAGGTTTCCATTTGAGAGATTAGTGCAAATTTGCAAGGATCTTGAGATCTTGAGCTTGGTGGACGGCGCCCATGGCGTCGGCCACATTGATTTGACTCATGTTGGTGTTGATGTTAGACCTGACTTTTTCATCAGCAACTGCTACAAGTGAGTCAACTCCTCTCGTAGTATATTTAATGGAATCTTGACGCTTATCTCCGGTCTAGATGGTTGATGGTCCCGAGGGGATGCGCCGTCCTCTACGTACCATTCCGGAACCAAGCCATGTTCTCTTCAACGGTGCCCACATCATGGGGCTACGAAATCGAGGAGAATCGCATTAAGATGAATGCACGAGACTACTTTTCAAAGTTGTTTGACAAGATTTCTACAACAGACAACACGCCATATTGTTGCATACCCGCAGCACTCGAATTCAGGGCCCGAGTCTGCGGTGGCGAAACGAATATTCGGGAATACTGTGAGCATATTGCTCGTCAAGGAGGCGATTTGATGACAGAGATCCTCGGCACAGAGGTCCTCGGCGCATCATTCGCTTCGTTCCGGCAGTGCTGTTTCGTCAATGTTCGCCTCCCCTTGACTTTGGCGGACCTCAACGTCGACACGTCGGCTGGACGGGGGATAGCGAAATGGATGCAAGAGATGATGCCGGCAGAGTATGAGACGTACATTCCCATTAAGTTTTATGCCGGTGGCTTTTGGTGCCGGATCAGCGGCCAAGTGTACCTCACGTTGGAAGATTTCCGTTGGGCGGCAGAGACTTTGCTTCTTATCTGTAGGCGTGCGAAAGCTGTGGAATGGAAATAACATCACATCTCACGTTTCATACATGGCAGGGTAATACTCGAGTTGAATGAGTTTGAACGAGATCCCGCGACCTCTGCCTCTTTCTCTATGGGTCAGGAATTTTTACTCCACACATCAGAAAATGGAAAGATTGTGGACGATATGAAGAAAGAATCTTCGAAGACTGGGTGTCATCTAGTGCTTGTCCGCGGGCCGAACCCTGGCGACGAAATCCGGTTTCTCAGCCTCACATTGGGTCATGCGGCAGTCGAGGCGCAGCCGCGCAACAGAGTCCAAACGTCCTCTTCATAGCCAAGCCTCGTGCCCTGCGAAATAATAGAGAGCTCCACCTCTGCATAATGGCGGCGCATGTTCTTGCGTGGCGTTGTTCTACTCGCGGGCGAATGTTGTTGATCCTCGAGGCAAACAGATGCCTGGCCAGGTGGCCTGCTACGCACCCATCTATGAGATTTCATTGGCCACACACATCGGGAACTACCGCGTATATTGAACCGTATATTGAAGGGTACTTCCCGGCGACCTGATCCAACATGCGGGGGGTTGGTCCGCATGCGAAGCAGGTTTGGCATAGGTGTTGAGGGCATAAGCAGACAGATATGATTCTCTGGTCTTACTTGGTAAAATCTGACCTACACAACTGCCAATCCACGCCGTCTCACTCGTCTCATTCCAACAAGGATTACAATGGAGAACGATCTTGACTCCAGAGCGCCTTTCGCGGCTCACGACCGTCTGATGATGGCGGGGCTGGCCACTCTCGGCCAATATCGAATCGAACGTCGCGAGGCTGAGCTCTGGGCTGTCAAAGATTGCAAGTTTCTCGTAGTTGACGAAGAAGGGGAGTTGGTCGACGGGAAAAGAGACCAGGCAGCGCCTTCCACGATCGAGCAACTGGACAAAGTGCGTGAGAAGATTTTGAAACAGCCCACAGAGGTCTGCGAAGAAAGAGCTGTTCGGGATGAGAAGAGAAGGAAGGGAAAGGCGATTGAAAATGACGACTGGGAATTCGAGGATTCGCCGTCAGGGGCACGTCTGCAGTTTTGCGGGAACGTGGAACCCAGATATGCCCGCTCGTCGACGAACGTGGATGAGCCCCCTCCGGACGATTTTGAATGCATCATCTGCGCTCACTGCCCCGAATTTCCACACGACAGAAAGACACGCCATTTCCGTCTCTACAGACCGAGAGATGAGTTCCCAGAGCTTTTTGAGGACGGCATACCTTCGGCAAACAACATCTGCGCGCACTATCTGGCCATTTCGTATTGCTGGCCTCCTCAACAAAAGGACAACAACGGGAATATAACCGACATACCCAGAACATACAAAGTCCGCGACCTAGATGGTGTCGTCCGAGAAAACAGAGCCCTGGACGATATTCTTGACCGTGCTGTTGACGTCGCCAACAGCTTTGGTCTACGTATGATCTGGATCGATCAAGAATGCCTTCCTCAGCCCCCACAAGATACCGAGTCACCCTCTAAGGAAGATAAACAATTTGGAATTCAAGCGATGGATATCATCTACAATAGAGCTTTTGTTACCGGGGGTCTGCTTGACGTCGCCATGTCAAACTGGCAACAGCTGGAAAAGATCCGGGGTTTGATTTCGAAGACCAGAAATTCAGGTACCAGTCGCTTAATTACGAATGATCAAGACCTGGAGATAGTCATATCATTTCTTCAAAAAGTCAAGAGCGATCGATGGTATACCCGTGCGTGGGTGGTCCAAGAAGCTATCAGCGCTGGTGACAACCTCAGTCTTGTGTTCAGACGTGGTAGTGGACTACCTGAACGAACGAAGCCTCGAATTCCCAACAAAAGGAGTGGTCTGCCGACTCATTCACTTGAGAGCGAGAACCAAAGACGCGGTCTCCCATCCGAAGTTGTTTGCATCATGGTACACGAGTTTCGCGACATCGTTCGGGCTGCAAAGACATTCCTACAACAACATTCACTTGAGGGAGATGAATTGAATTTGCACCGCAAAGCAAGTTTATATGTAGCCATGGGAATTGTCGCCGAGGCTGAAGATCTGCACCCTCCATTTTGGAAACCGAAGAAGAGCTTCAATTTCGGCGCGCGAAGCGCCATTTCGTTTGGCATCCGACCCACTGTTGACGCAGCCGGTGCCCTGACATTGCTGAAGACACGAGAATGTTACCACAACCAGGACCGCCTAGCTATCATGGCGAATATGTGTGGCTATGAACACCGCCTGGACCCAGAAGCCGTTGCTAGAGACCGCCTCTCGCTTCGTGCAGCGCTTCTAACCCTGTCACTCATGAACAACGATTTCTCCCTTTTGGTTCCGGAGGCATACTCGGATACCATAGCGAAAGACGCCAGCGAGGACCCAGGATTGTGCCTTCTACAAAGCGTCCGACCAGGCTGGGCGCACCCGTTCGATGTTGACTTTGAGTTCCTGGACCAGGTGACTATCCGTGGATTCGACCTTCCAAGAACCATACTACGCGAACGAAGGCCCGGTATTCTTGGTGTATCCGCGTACATCTGGGACGTCGGATTCGAACCGATTGACCTGACTCCGATAAAGGTTCGGTGGCTTCAAGACTGGCTCAACCTATCTTGCATCAAGACTAAGTGTGTGCGCATGCCGGATGAAGAATTGCGTGCATACAAACTGCGACAAGATACAATAGCTGAGCGGATGCATTTACCAAATGCGACGGCGCGTATCAAGCGAGAATTGGCTGAAAAAGGAGTCCTTGGCAGCGATTCCCCATTCTGGAGCGGTATTGAGCACTACGCAGGCACAGCCGAAATATCTCTGTGCCTTCTTGCCAACAGGCTGGAATTCAGCCCGTCTCGCCAGGTACTTTTCGGAGAAATCTTCTTCGATATTCTTCGTTTCCTGCACGACAAAGCCACAATCGACCCAAGGGCCCAAGGAGTTGCCAATAGCATATGGCAATCTGTTCGGGTAGACGCAGTTCACGACGACTTTCCGCCTTTGCCTGACGAGGTCAGCAACGGACTCTTTGAGCATCCTGCTGTACAGCGCAACGCGTTTCGCACAATTGCGCTGGATAGAACCCGAACCGGAGAGTACTACCAGACATGGTTCATTGATCGCATAATGATGCATGGCAATCTATTCGTAGGCTCCTATGTACCGGAACCCCGAGACGACAAGTTTGCCGGCCAACAAAGCACTGCATCGAACGCAGAAGCCAACCAAGAACATCAGCATGACAGTCTTGAATATGACGAACTCTTCAAAAGGGCTAAGAGGTTCGGCATTAATGGAGTCAAATGTTGCACCATGCACCGCCAGTTTCATAGAGCAATGGCCACATATGCCATTGCTGCCGATGATATCCATCGTTATTCTCACCTGCAGACGGAAGCCGAGAAGAAGTCCAGACCTGGAGGTGCTCGCTTACAGCTCACGCCCGGAACGATGGTGTCTTTTTTGGAATCAATGGCCACGATACAAGATTCCGAAGAAGAGACTCGTCGAGCTAAAGAGCTTTTTTCTATATTCGATGTAGATGGCCCTTGTAAGATTGCTATCCCGTACGACACGGCTTGGGAGATGATTCCTCACCCAAGCATGAGGAGTATGAGCGTTGGCTGGATCGCTGAATTCGGCGGTGCTCCTGATGAAGACGAAGAATCGCGTGTGGCGATGGTGGAAAGAATGACCAATGGGTCCTCATCCTCAACACGCAGTCGGATCAAAGAAGCTGTCACTATGAGAGTATTGGGCAAGGTAAGAGGTTTTTGGCCTATCATGTTTACACATCCGATAGGTAAGTACGCGCTTGTCGATATGGGATGGTAGAAATAATTGAAGTTTTCGAGGGTTTCATTGCCGACCCCAGATCCAACATCGACCGGAAGCTCCCCTTCCCACTCTGCTAACAACACTTGTGATGTCGCTGCCACGTCATACGTTCTTTGAGCGCTGCTCATTTGAGCAATGAAACTATACCTGTCTTTCTGCATATGTTGGCGTTATCTAGTGGCGTTCCAGACTTTTCAAGAGTTTGGAAAGTCGAGACGGCATCCTCGGCCAGTTGAGTCGCTTAGTGCTTTCATTACTCCATCTTCTGTTTTGAGATAGCCTAACTTACAACGCCAAGTTCAGATTACTGGGCTTCGAGAAGATCCCGTGACCTCCAGCTGTCTCGGTAAATCATGAGACTATGCCTCGTAGATCTGTGAATCCTGCCCAGTACTTAGCCAGCTTTCGATAGAAGGTGATGACTTATATCCAATGCTCATATAAGCGCATGTTTGAAGCCAGCAGTTGGTTAGTCCCCTTCCTTTTTGTACGTACAAGCATGAACAATGAAAGATTTCTCATTACTTTAATAAGAAGTAATTATCTAGTCATGATATATAAACTGGTCAACAAGCTGTGCTATGCCACCCACAGTCGCCAAAATGCCCACCCCCGCCGCGCCCAAGCCCGCCCGCCCAAGCGTGCCGAAACCTTTCGCCCAGGTTCCGACGGCGGTCGTAACCCCCCTGAACATCTGCGTGTTCTGGGCGACTGGCAAACCAGCCGAGAGGGTGCCGGTCATGATGTCCATCACCAGGTCCAGCGAGGTCACCTCGTTGTGGGTGCCATATGCCCAATTATCAGCGGCGTTGGTAGCAAAGTTCTGACCGACGTTGGCGCTTGGGTTCAAGCCTAGACGGAGTGCGAATTGCTTCATGGCCAGCACGCTCGGGCTGGGACGTGCCGCGCCGCCGGTAGCCTCAGCCAGCGCCGTCGTCTTCGCTCCCTGTGCTCCATCTGATGCTGCCGTCGCCCCATAGTTGGTGCCGGTATTGGACCGCGCAACGCGCGACGTTGATATCAACGGCTCGTCCGGGTCGACGAGCGGTTCAGACCTGCGCGTGGCGAGACCGGCGGCTTCCTGCTCCTGGTCGACGAGTATGTTGGCATTGGCGCTGGTGTCTTCGGCGACCTCGGGGGCTACGACATCGCTAATGTCGGACACAGCGCTCCCAGCCGTCGGCCCCGTATCTGCCGCCGCCGTCTCGAGGGAACCCGCGGCCGCCTTGGTCATGAAGCCTGCGCCACTCCAATACGCGCCCAGTCCGCCCGTGATGGCGCCCGTTACGGCTCCCACAGCGCCTCCGATGGCCACCTCGACCGCCCAGCCCTTGAAGAAGGTCCCCGCGTCCGTGACGTTGCGATGTTTCCACGCGTACGTGACCGACGCCATGCCGGCGCCCAACAGGAAACCTGACGCACTAGAGGGTAAAGATTGATAAGTCAACGTTGTTCGGGAAAACGGTATAAGTCGTCAAGACTCAAACAAGCAAGAGAACAGCAAGAAAACGATGTTACTTACGCGCCTAACCCGATCGCAGCAAGGATTGGAAGATCCGCGCCCAACGTCACAACAGTAAGGACGATAAACGCCGCGATCAAGAGCACCCCGACCACGATCGCGACCCAGAACATCCACGAAAAATGCCCGGTTGGGTCCGTATGGTTGACTGGATCATTATTCTCGAAAGCCATACGGTTCATGCCGTCCGGGTACAGCGTCTGCCGCAGGGTGAGGATGGAATCCGGGGTGGTGAAGCGGCCTGTAACCGGGTCGTACATGCGCGCGCCAAAGTCCAGCAGCTCGCTCAAGTCGTCCATGACGGCTCCCTCAAACTCACGAGAGCTACGCGAAGTCTTGCTCCCGGTTGACTTGATCGCCTGTCCGTAGTCGTCGTAAGTGATTTGCCTGATCAGACGCCTGTCGGAGCCGTCAAAGACGTGCGTTATGCTCCCTTTGTGGTTCGTCATAGGCACTCGGAATTTTCGTGATTTTTGGTCCTCTATCGGAGGGGATCCAGACACGGATGGCATAATTTTGGTCCAGACTGTGACTGCTGTTTGATCGGGAAATTTGAAGTCCTTTTTGACGGTCTTCGAGCCGTCCTTGCTGAGAATCTCCTGGTACTCTGGGCCCGCATTGATCTCGATGGACCCGTCGGGGGCTTGTCGGACGACGGTGAATAGGCCGTGATCCGAGAACATGATTGATGAGCCCTTTGAGCTTGTCGCAGAGCTCATCTTGCCATTCTCGTCGTAGGTGTAGCTCATCTCGGGGCCGTCACCATTTTTGCGCGTCGTCAGACGACCGGCAGCGTCCGAGGTGGACCAGAAGACCGTCTTGCCGTCCCGGGAGCCTTCGATTCGGGTGAAATCCTCGTCCGATGAGTAGCTCAATAACATACCGTCCTTTGCTGTCAAATCTCCCGACAAGCTATACGAATACTTGCGGTTGACACCTTCGGCGCTGTGTGACGCGACCAGCCGCCGATCGATATAGTCGTACGCGATGGATGAGCCGCTGACGCTCTCGTCAAGGCTGCTTACCTGGTCGAGCGCGTTATATACCAGGTTATGATCGACCAGCCTCTTGCCTTGACCCTTCTCCTGTCCTTCCAGTAAAGTCATCCTGGTTGGCAGGCCCAGCTTGTCAAACGCAACCTCATGGTGCCACCCGCCCTGAGCCAACTCGGAACCATGGATCGTCCAGGCTGTAGGTGTGCCCGACTCGCTGAACGCAGTCGTAGATGCAGTCATGTCCCAGCCACTCTGCCCGCCGCCAATAGGAGGGGGCTTCATCTTCTTCTGGGCCAGCCTAAGTCCAAAGTAGGTCGAGTTCACCGTCGTCGAATCGGGCAGCGTCTGGGTTAGGATACGGCCCAGGCTGTCGTACGTCCATGTCGAATTTAGCACTACGGATTTGGTACCATCCCAAAAGAGCACGTCACCAGTCAACTTAAGAGATTGGCCCGTTTTACGCGCCGCTTCGTCGTAGGTGTATTCGTACTCGAGCTTCCGCACCGCCCGCGACTTCCCGGCCGCATCGACTGTGTCTGGACTGCACTCGATCGTGACGCCGGCGAGCAAGCCCTTTCCGGTGCCCGGCTCGTCGAACCGGAACCTCGTGGTCCGTATGACACCGCCCTTAAGGTCTTTGCCGATGATTTGGACCGTTCTTCCCATCGCGTCGTACGTTCGCTCCAGGGCCTCTCCAAGCACGTTGACCTCCCTAACGAGACGGCCGCTCCCGTCGTAGGAGCGTGTCAGACCCCTTGTTCTCTTAAGCGGGTTCTGATATGGGTCGTTGATCTCGACGACGCAACCTAGAGAGTTATACTTGCGCTGTTCGACACGGCCGCCCGCATCGGTGAGCTCGACGAGCCGGCCCCGTCCATCATACTTCCATGTCTTGACCTGGCCGCTGCCGTTCCGTGACAGAACGATCTTGTCCTTGCCATCCACGCTGGCAAACTCCTGATAATCCGTCTCAATGATGGACCTGGTACTCACCGGCGAGGAAAACTCCCCGATCAGCGCGGCGGTGCTGAAGTGGGTCGTGCGAGTAGACCCGCCCCGGCCATAGACGGCGTCTATAGCCGTGAACCCGTCGCTGGGGTTACTTGCCGGCCGTACGAGCAGCACCGCCCTGCCTAGGGCATCGAACACGGAGAGTGTCGAGCGGGAGTTGTCGGGCGCGGTACTCCAGCCTGAGGGATCGGGCGCGTATAAGGTGCTCCTCACGACGGGATTGTTTCCCGTGTCGTACTCGAAGAACGCCCACGACCTGCTGGAGGCCACACCGCCGCCGCCACTGCTTTCCGCGTCCAACTGCTCCGCGCTGCGGCGGTTGCGGCCCTTGCAGTCCACGAAGTGGGTAGCAGGTAACACCGGCATCGAAGACGGACCGGCGAACTTGGCCACGGACTTTGTGGGTGCCGGCTTCGAGGTCACCGGGTCAATATCGGTCGTTGCGTATGAAGTCTCTTGATTGCGACAGAGTTTTGAAGTCTCCAGTATCTTGCCGAAGTCTTGGCTCTTGACGCTCGTCCCGGCCGGTCCTCCGTCCCACTTGAAGTCGTCCGTGTCGGACTTGGTAGCGGTAATCGCCTTGGTCCGCTCCCGGCCCCACTCGTCCACGGTGGTGGTCTGGATGACGCCCTTCTCCGACATGTGAGCCGTCGCCACGCCGTACCTTGCGTCCCACGCATAAGCCGTCTTGAGGTCGACGCCTGTCCCCTTGAGCGTGGTTCCGACAACATACTGGGGGTAGAGGCCATCATATGTCATTATCGTCGACAGACCGGTAGTGCTGGTCTCGGCCAGCAAATTGCCAAAAGCATCATATCCGAGGGTGGACTCGACGAACTGCTGAGAGTCCGAGGACCACAATCGCTGTGTCGTGATGAATCCTTGGTCATTGTACACGAACTGAGTCAGGCTGAGATCTGAGGAGGAAGAGTACGTGCTGAAGTTATTGCTTCCCGCATTGGAGGTAACCTTGCTGGCAGCGGTAAGGCCTTGAACGCCCAACCGAGTGGTGGGAGCGTACTGGCTAAACTTCCACTGCTCTCCAAGCCGCGTCTTATTATTGGTGGGCTCGCTGATCTCATACGAGTACTCTACCGTCCTATCCCTCGACTCACCGTCATACCCAAACTCCGTCATCAAGAGGCGCTCCGCCACTTTGCCCAAATCATCAAAGTAAGTCCTTGCTCTCAATGTCTGTCTGACGACGTAGCAGGCGGGTCTGCCACTACGCTTAACCGCCTCGAAGTCGTTGGAGACGGACTTGAGCAGGATCAGTTCGTCCCCGGCCCACGTTGACTGGTGACTCTTTTCCAGCTCCTTGATACGTCGTTGGAGCGCTATTGGAGAGCTGCCGTACGTGTCGCGGGTCTTGACAAGCCCGCAGAGAGGCCACTCCTGGAAGTAAGTCGTGAGAGCACGCACGCCAGACACGGTCTCGGTGCGCGAGACTTTCTCAAAGCTGGACCAGC